ACTTTTCTCCTTGGCCTATGGGTTTGAAGGAGGGCAGAAAGGGCATGCCCTTGCCTAAGGTTACTGTCCATGGTGCCTAGCCTGTAGCAGATCCCAGCCCCAGCAGTGGATGGAGCTAATGGAGCTACCAGGCACCAAGGCTTTGGAGAATGTGCAGGCTAATACAATCCACATGATAAACACCATAATGGCTCTAGCAAGGAGAAGGATACCTGGGCAGGCAGAGAGGCCTGAGAGTACAGGAATCCACACAAGAGTGAGCACAAAGGGACTGTCTTTGATAACTTCCTTCCTAATTACTCCTTGTTATCCTCTCTGAGGCAGATTAACATCCCCATACCTGTATATTACGGATACAGGACATTTAAGAAAGTGTAGTATGGAGTGGGTATCAGACTGGCCAGAGAGCAGGACAGTGCCTGAGAAGCTATTTCTTACACGCTCTTTGGATCATTCTGATGTAGCCAACTACACACCAGGGGTCCAGACAGTCTGTTATCCTTCAGGGTGTGCAACAATCTGTCCTTAGCCCACTGTAACTTCCTCTTCAATCTCATGTTCTGCTACCACAGCATCCATTTCCTTCGGGGCTATGCTCAAACCCCACCTTCTTGATAAATGTTTCCCAAACCATACTTCTGTCTTAAAGAAAAAGATTATGTGTATGTGCATGTGAGTGTGGGTGCCTGTGGAAGCCAGAGGTGTTAGAACCCTGTGGGCCTAAACTACAGGCTGCTGTGAGCTGCCGGGAGATAGGTTTTGAGAACTGCCCAGGTCTTCTTTTAAGAGACGTGCTTTCAACCACTGAGCCATCTCTCCAGCCCTGTTTTGTCTTGTCTTGGAGATAGGTTTTCTCTGTGTAGCCAGACTGGTCTTGAACTATCCTCCTGCCCCAGGCTCCAGCCTTGCATTATCATACTTGTTAATACAGCATACCCCTTCCTTATCCTTCTTGTCCCCTTCCCCGTTTACTTCGGTCCAAGCGCTTAGCTCTATTTATTCTAAGTGATATCTTAAATCTGCCTCAGAGGCTCAGGAAGTCTACCCCTTTTCATGCCAAGAAGCTCTGCAAGCTGGTTCATAAGTGCAACCATCATCAAAAGTTAAATGACTAAACTTATAATTACATGAATGATACTGAACACACACGAAGGTAAAAATGCTCTCGCTTGTCACTTTCTAACCTTGGAAAGCCATCATTTGTGTCTCCCTGAGCGCCTTTACCCTGCAGCCCTGCAGAGCGGTACACATGGTGTATAAAGACTACTCCTGGGTGTTTTGTTCTCTACTCTGAGTCCGGTGAGCTGAAATTAACTGCAGAAGGAGCACATCACAGGAGAGGGAAGCATGACAAACTGAGTTTAACTGTGTCATTTTATTGATTTGTCCCCAGTTGCCATGGGCCATATTCAGCTCATCAACTGTATTTGTGAACAGTCTTCTTCAGCAAGGCCATGGTCGCTCACTTACATACTATCGGTGGCTACAGAATTAAAGTAGGCAGTCACAACTATGGCTGAAAAGTCCCACAGTAGCGGCCTTTACAGAAGAAAATGGCTGGCCACTGGTCTGGCCTTAAGAAACTATCTAAAAGGCCAGGTGTGGTGGCACACACTTTTAATCCCAGCACACAAGAGGAAGAAGCAGGCAGATCTCTGTGTGTTCGAGGCCAGCCTGGTCTACAAAGCTAGTTCCAGAACAGCTAGGGCTGTTACCCAGAGAAATCCTATCTTGAAAAACCAAAAAATAAATAAAAGAAGAAGAAGAAAAGGAAGAGGAAGAGGAGGAGGAGGAGGAGGAGGAGGAGGAGGAAGAAGAAGAAGAAGAAGAAGAAGAAGAAGAGGAAGAAGAGGAAGAAGAAGAGGAGGAGAAAAAGAAAGGAAGGAAGAAGAAAGTAAAAAGGAAGGAGGGAAGGAAGGAAGGAAGGAGGGAAGGAAGGAAGGAAGGAGGGAAGGAAGGAGGGAAGGAAGGAGGGAAGGAAGGAAGGAGGGAAGGAAGGAAGGAAGGAAGGAAGGAGGGAAGGAAGGAAGGAGGGAAGGAAGAAGGAAGGAAGGAAGGAGGGAAGGAAGGAAAGAGGGAAGGAAGGAGGGAAGGAAGGAAGGAAGAAGGAGGGAAGGAAGGAAGGAGGGAAGGAAGGAAGGAGGGAAGGAAGGAAGGAGGGAAGGAAGGAAGGAAGGAAGGAGGAGGGAAGGAAGGAGGGAAGGAAGGAGGGAAGGAAGGAGGGAAGGAAGGAAGGAAGGAAGGGGGGAAGGAAGGAGGGTGGGAAGGAAGGAAGGAGGGAAGGAAGGAAGGAAGGAGGGAAGGAAGGGAAGGAGGGAAGGAAGGAAGGAGGGAAGGAAGGAAGGAGGGAAGGAAGGAAGGAAGGAGGGAGGGAAGGAAGGAAGGAGGGAGGGGAAGGAGGAGGATGGGAGAGGAAGGAAGGAAGGAAGGAGGGAAGGAAGGAAGGAGGGAAGGAAGGAAGGAGGGAAGGAAGGAAGGAGGGAAGGAAGGAAGGAAGGAGGGAGGAAGGAAGGAAGGAGGGAGGGAAGGAAGGAAGGAGGGAGGGAGGGAGGAGGGAAGGAAGGAAGGAAGGAGGGAGGAAGGAAGGAGGGGGAAGGAAGGAAGGAAGGAGGAAGGAAGGAAGGAAGGAGGGAAGGAAGGAAGGAGGGAAGGAGGGAGGGAGGGAAGGAAGGAAGGAAGGAGGAGGGAAGGAAGGAAGGAGGGAGGAAGGAAGGAAGGAGGGAAGGAGGGAGGAGGGAGGGAAGGAAGGAAGGAGGGAGGGAGGGAGGGAAGGAAGGAGGGGAAGGAAGGAAGGAAGGAGGGAGGGAGGGAAGGAAGGAAGGAGGGAGGGAGGGAGGGAGGAAGGAGGGGGAGGGAGGGAGGGAGGGGAAGGAAGGAAGGAGGGAGGGAGGGAGGGAAGGAAGGAAGGAGGGAGGGAGGGAGGGAAGGAAGGAAGGAGGGAGGGAGGGAGGGAAGGAAGGAAGGAGGGAGGAAGGAGGGAGGGAGGGAGGGAGGGAGGGAAGGAAGGAAGGAGGGAGGAAGGAAGGGAAGGAGGGAGGGAGGGAGGGAGGGAAGGAAGGAGGGAGGGAGGGAGGAAGGAAGGAGGGGAGGGAGGGAGGGAAGGAAGAGGAGGGAGGGAGGGAGGGAAGGAAGGAGGGAGGGAGGGAGGGAGGGAAGGAAGGAGGGAGGGAGGAGGAAGGAAGGTAGGAGGGAGGGAGGGAGGGAAGGAGGGAGGAGGGAGGGAGGGAAGGAAGGAGGGGAGGGAGGGAAGGGAAGGAGGAAGGAGGGAGGGGAGGGAAGGAGAAGGAGGAGGGAGGGAGGGAAGGAAGGAAGGAGGAGGAGGGAGGGGAGGGAAGGGAGGGAAGGATAGGAAGGAGGAGGGAGGAGGAAGGAGGAGGGAGGGAGGGAAGGAAGGAAGGAGGGAGGGAGGGAGGAAGGAAGGAAGGAGAGGAGGAGGGTAGGAAGGAAGGAAGGAGGGAGGGAGGGAGGGAAGGAAGGAAGGAGGGAGGAGGGAGGGAAGGAAGGGGAGGAGGAGATGGAAGGAGGAGGGGAGGGAGGGGAGGGGAAGGGGGAAGGAAGGGAGGTGGAGGGAGGGAGGGAGGGAAGGAGGGAGGGAGAGAGGGAAGGAAGGAAGGAGGGAAGAAGGAAGGAGGGAGGGAGGGAGGGAAGGAGGAGGGAGGGAGGGAGAGAAGGAGGGAGGGGAGGGTAGGGAAGGAGGGAGGGAGGGAGGGAGGGAAGGAGGAGGGAGGAGGAAGGAGGGAGGGAGGGAGGGAGGAAGGAAGGGAGGGAGGGAGGGAGGGAGGAAGGAAGGAGGGAAGGAAGGAAGGAAGGAAGGAAGGAGGGAGGGAGGGAGGGAAGGGAGGGAGGGAGGGAGGGAGGGAGGGAAGGAAGGAAGGAAGGAAGGAAGGAAGGAAGGCAAGCCCCGGAGCAAATATTAGTAATGCAGAGCCCATCATTAGAAGCTGAGAAAATTTCAGCACACTTTGCTTCACATTTTCATCTTCTTGCCCTTCAGTTCGAGTGCAAACACCAACACAGATGTGGATACCACATCTGTTTAGACATAACCACATGCTAACCATACATGGAAGACGTAGGCAAGATTCAAAGAAAGTATAACACAAATGTCAGCTAAATTGTGACTGACACATGCTTGCAATTCCAAGTGAGGAAACCAAGGCAGGAAGACAAGTTTGAGGCTAGCCAGGACAACACAGCAATAGGGGACAGGGGCGATGGCTCAGTGGTTAAAAGCATGAACTGCTTTTACAAAGGATCCAAGTTTGGTTTCCAGCACCCAATCAGATCATAACTGCCTGCAACTCCAGCTCCAAGGGATCACACTGACTGGCACCTCCACCAACACACACACAAACACACAATGACTTTCAAACATGCAGCGGGTGCCTGGCAACACACGTGGCGTGGCTGAGTGTAGGAGCAGTTGGAGAGAGTTTTCACGGACTGGCTTGTCAGGCCTGCATCACAGTCCCAGCTCTACTGCCAAGCAGCCGTGTGAACTGGGTAAATTATGTAACCTTTTAAAGTCTTTTTCTAAACTTATTTTTATTTACATTAGTGTTTTGCCTGTATGTATGTCTGTGTAAGGGTGTCAGATCTTGGAATTACAGACAGTTGTGAGCTTCCATGTGGGTGCTGGGAATTGAACCCAGGTCCTCTGGAAGAGCAATCAGTGCTCTTAACCACTGAACCATCTGTCTAGCCCCACCTTTTAAAATCTTAGCTTCTTCTTCTAAAAGAAGGGCTCCACCATCTTACCTCACAGGGAGGTTGTGATCATGGACATGGGTGCCTGTCACCTACTGTGTTTCTCCAGATGGGAGTGGCCTTCTGACCCTCCAGAAACACAGCTTTGACGCTGTCACACATTTTAGTGATGTCACAGCTCACTGCCTGGCAGGTCTAGCGCCATCATATATTGCTCAGTTCAAGTGCTGGCTGAAGTGAGAGGGGCAGGGTGCAGGCAGTGTGGGGTCCAGTCTTGCTCCTACAGCCCCAGCATGAATCCATCTACAAAGAAGAGGCCCAAGAATGGAGTGGTTTCCAAGGTCAGACTTTGTCTCGAAGCCCAGGCAAGTGAGGGATCTTACCAATGATCCAGCCTTTTAGAGAAGGGAAAGGGGAAGGGTGAAAGGAGGCCGGCAGAGTTAAAATGGTCTCAGGGTACAGTTAAAATGGTCTCAGTTTTGTTCTAAAGCCAAACTGACAAGACTCCCAGTCTAGGGTTGGTCAAAGCATGCTAGTCAAATGGAGAGACACAGTGCAGCATGCAAGGGGTTTCCTTCTATGCTAGCTCTCCCTCTCTTCCTGTCTCTCAGATGCAAGATGAGAAACTGCAGGACAAGATAAATCAGCCTGTCAGCAAACTAATTGAGAGGAACCGACTTAAAATGGTGAGATGTTCCATTTTAGCCCCTGCTTAGGGGAACCAAACCCCCACTGAAGTGCTACCCCAGGTGCCGGACCCAGTGACCCCGGGGAGCCAGCAGACTTAGCCCTGAGCTGAGCCAAGCCATAGAAAGGGCATGGAAGGCGACCCTGGAGAGCGGCAGCCTCTAATTTTCTGGTTTATTGACCCTGGCAGGTATTAAAAAACTTGTCCCTCTTGAAGTTACTCAAGAGTTCAAATGACCGGATCCGAGAACTGCATAGCCTGGCCAGAAGGTGTTGGAATTTAATAATCAGAGTTCCAAAGATCCTCCAAATCTCCTCTGGGTGAGCTCCATCCACACCCCCTCCTCACACACACACAAAATACCCAGCAACTATCTTTCCTAGGAAGAGGCACTGTGGTGAGGGACTGGGGAGCAGTGGCCTGCTTTACACAAGGGCTCTGTGCAACAGATATTTATGCAAGGTGTTTTACTGGCAGGGACTGAGACTCCAGCGATGAAGGGATTTATCTCAGCCAACTGAACTGACAATTGGCAGAGTACCTGTTTGAAGTCATTCCCACCTGAAATCAAAGCTGTGGCTCTAACAGTGATCACAGTCATCTAGTGAAGGGCCCACCTATAACGGTGGTACTGGGGAGCTTTCTCTTCCTCCTGGGCCTGCAGCCCAACCCAGAGACAGTCTCACAGACTGCCCTCTGAATCTGAAGATACATTATCTTGCTCAGAATCTGATTATTCATGGGCCACTCTAGAATTTGGGGAGCATTTATATAAGTGCCAGCCATTCTGCTTACATGTTACACATGTGCCCGCCCCCCACCCTTGGATGCTTCTTCCCAACAACCTAGGTACATGAGATTATCCATCTTATGATGGAGACCCTGGCTGGGGTCTGGGAGGTGAAATGTCTTATTCCATCCAGATGATGTCTCCAAAGACTGCTCTCCAGACCAGCTGCTTCCTTGCCTCCTACCTGGCAGATCTTGACAATAGGCCCCTAGTGGCCATCACTGTCATCAGCCAGGGTGAGCAGGCCCGGGGCTTTGCCTGGCTCAATCTGATACTCAGACTCCCGAAAACTGTTAATTCCTTCCTCAGGCATCTCTCTCTGATGTGGCCCCTGAACGACCGGGAAGCCCAGAACCAAGCTCAGGATCACAGACCACCATAGTTCTTGAAGCACAGAAATATCTCTTAAAAACATTTGTCCCTAAATCTCAATGTGAGAGGTACCTTGCCCTCATCCTGCCTTCTACCTAGCCCAGGCGAGGGTACAGAGAAGCTTCTTCAGAGACCCATGGTTTCTTAGAATATAATTGGAAAGGAACACTGGGCAGTCTTCCCTCTTGGCTGAGACAGAAGCCTAGTGTAGCGGCAGGTGCCAACAAAATATATACCCTTGGGCTCCTCAAATACTGGTCATGCCTTCTGCCTTTCCAATGTCTCACATCCTTTCCACTAAAACTAATAGTACCTCCAGGCACTAGAGACATTTCGTTCAGTCCAGCTCCAGCAGGCTCCCTGAATCAGCACCACAGCGACTGCTCAGGACTGGGTTAGAAGGGCCCTTGCTCCGCTGACCTTTCCTCTCCCTGTCAGGGATAACAAGGTGAAGGTGAAACAAAAGAATGAAGAGCTGCAAGATGTTCTGGCCCTGGTGAAGAAACCGGAATCCAGGAAAGCAGAGTCCATAGAGAACCCTAATGAAAACCTGTCAGAGGAGCGGAAACCCACGGAAGGGTCAAAGGGGTCGCCTGCAGCAGCAGCACGGAGAAAAAAGCAGGCAAAGCCTAAAGTCCCCAAGATAGCAAAGAATCTTGGGTTGCTTACCAGAGCCCAGAAGAGGAAACCACATGTTAAGGAGCCCCGAATTGTCTTCCTGAAGATCTACAATCACAGAACTCCCAAGATGAACATGAAACCACTGGATGAAACTGACCAGTTGGTCTGGTTTGAGGGGCTTCCCACACGCATCCACCCCCCAGGGCGCCGGATCATGTGCAGATCATCTGCCTTACGACGCGTCAAGCGGCCCTGTACCCGGTTCTGCTCGGTGTCACTTTGAGCTGCCTGTGTAGCATCCATATGAGGTGGGTATGACGACACCACTGCCAGGCCAAGGCAAGATGCAGCCCCTTATGCAGGCCCACACCTGAGCCCTAGACTCAGGGGTTCGGGTCTTGCTGACTGTGGCTGGCTGGACTGGGAGGCCCCATACCCAGAGAGAGGAAGCCATTGACCAGACCACACAGCAGGGTAATAGCTGGGCTGAGGATGCAGCTCAGCTGACTGGGCTCTAGGGAAGGTGTAATGGAAATGTGGAACCCAGTATATCATCTAGTTGTCTGGAGACCCCAGGAGAGTGGGAACCACCGCTGTGGCCCTGAATCCCAAAGGATGTTCAAGTTAGGGAGGATGGAAGTAGCCACACTAGGCTTTGCTGCATCTCCTCCCCTTAAGCTAAATCAACTCTATTTGATTTAGTCACGTTTTAAGTAAGACTTATGCTAAAAAGAAAACGTTCTTAAACAAAGACAAGAAACTCTTCCCATCATGGCTTGAGGTGCTCATGAAGGGAAGAGGGCGACTGACTCCTGAGGTCCACCTTAAAGGGTTTCCTTTAAATTGGAGATAGCCCCAACTTGCCACAAAAACCAAGGGTCCCAGGCCCTGTGCCCACTCACTGGACAACAGCGCCCCCTGGGGGTGATTTCTATGACTAACATGGAGCTCTCTGCTGGCAGGTGGTGTAACCCTGGAAGGGAACTTGAAGTTTAAGAAGAGAAGTAGAGATCCTGCAATCAGCTAAAGGGAGGGAAGAGCGGGAATTTCCCAAGTTTACAATAATCGCTCATATGCCTCTGAACAATATCACCACTGGCTCTGCCTGTCTAGTGCTGGCAATCACATACACATGGAGGGCAAGGATCCTGGGGGAGGTGCAGGGGGGAGGGGGGGAGGGAGTGTATGTCGTGGGTCCATCCCTAGGCTCCTAAAGTCATTTCCTAAAACCACAGCAGAAAATCTACCAAGTTGTAATCCTTCAACATCCCCCACAGGCTGGCTCCTTTGGGCAGTGCACACTTCCTCTATGAAGTCATTTGTCTCCTGGGTGCAGGTGCCTCACAATGGTCCTGTGGTCCAAGGAGAGGCAGAAACTTGTACACCTATATAGCAAAAGACTTACCCCAGCTTCCTCAGAGAGGAGGCACTGGAGCAAAATCTAATCCCCCCCCCCCCCCCGCCCCGCCCCAGTCTCCTGGCTTCTCCATCCCACTTTCCCAAGAGGGAAAAAGTCACATGCAGAGCCCGCCTTGGCCAATGGAGTCATCCCAGAATCCAGCTCCCCACTGACTATCAATGCATGTGGTGTCAATAACTGGGCCTCCTGGATCTCAGATTATAGGAAACACCAGGGTAGGTGGGGAGTTGGCACTGTGTCCTACAGTTCAGGTGTAATAGCACAGTCACCCTGAAGCCCAATCCCTGGCTGACTTTATCGGTCAGGAGCACTATTTGTCAGTAGGAACTATAGGGCCTTGCACACACAGTTGAGGAGATGGGGCAGGGGAACCCAGGTTTTCTTTGGACAAAGACTAGAATCCTTCTAATAGCCTCCTGAGGCTAAAAGCAATCAATGGGTGTGCCTGCAGGTGAGGTACCCAGCCTTTGAGCCACCGAAGGGCAGGGTCGCAGAGCCCTTCTGGAGAGGCAGGGCAGTGATGACAAGATCTCATTTGGGAGGGAGATTGATGGGAGGACCGGTGTTTTAACCTTCCTCTCGCACTGCCCCTGCCTACTATGCCTGGCACTGCCATCTACATTGGAGGGGCAGCCTCACATGGGCCAGTCAGAGCCAAACCTGGCATCAGGACTGTCCCACTATCCTGCTTCTGCTCATGCTTCTTCCTATGGGCGCAGCCCAGTGCTATCTGAGCACTCTGTGTGGCCCTTCTGTACGTCACCGCCCTTGCCATTTCCCAGCAACCTCTTCCCCAGTCACTCCTTCCAGCTGTTTCCTGCTCAGTGGTCTCTATCTTGAGTCCCCTCAACCTTGGTAAACTTTTCTTCAATTTCTTTTTTTTTAATATTTATTATGTATACAATATTCTGTCTCTGTGTATGCCTGCAGGCCAGAAGAGGGCACCTGACCCCATTACAGATGGTTGTGAGCCACCATGTGGTTACTGGGAATTGAACTCAGGACCTTTGGAAGAACAGGGAATGCTCTTAACCTCTGAGCCATCTCTCCAGCCCCCCCTCAATTTCTTTCCAACCTCCTGCTTATCAACTGGTGTGGTGAACTTGTGACCTCAGATGGGTATCCCTCAGTGGGTAGCCAGGGCAGCAAGCTCTGTCTTCATGGCAGCCTGTTCAGAGAGGGACTCAAGTACAGGCCCCAGTGGAGAAGGCCTGCTCAGGGCTGGCAATTTCCCCTGTGTGCCCCGAGAGAAGAGGGGAGCTGAGCCGTGTGGGCAGAGCCTGAGGTCTAGCATGGCCTGTGGAAGGAAGGCCCAGTATCTCCCAACAGGACTTCTTCCAGCCTCCCCATACCTTTGACATGACCACCATCAGCTTACATCCCACTGTCCACTTTCCTGTATGTAAGGAAGTCCACTTAAGTCTGACGTTCTTCTGGGTTTGGTAAACCCATTATTTGAGGAAAGCATATCCCAGAAATGGCGTCCTAAGAGTAAAGTGGAGGGGTGTGTATGTGTGTATATACGTGTGATCAAACTGAACTCAAGCATCTACTCAACAACTTAAGTCATAGGACCTCTGAACTTGGCTTCTATTTTTGGGGTGTGTGTGTGTGCACGCGTGCACATGTGCGCAGGGTATCAAATCCATAGTACCGCACATGCTAGCCAAACACTCTATCACTACAAAGAGCCAGATCCCCAGCCCCCCCCCCCACACACACACACTTTTTTTGAGATAGAATTTCATTGCATAGCATTGGCTGGTGTTAAACTTGCTATGTAGACCAGGCTGGCCTCAAACTCAGATTTGCCTGCCTCTGCCTCCAGAATGCTGAGATTAAAGGTGTGCACCACCACAGCTCACTATTTCAATTGTTTTTTTTTTAAGGGACATAAGCTGGGAGTAGTGGCACAGCTTTAATTCCCAGCATTTGGAAACAGAAGATGAATCTCTGTGAATTCAAGGACATCCTGGTCTATATAGCAATTATCAGGGCTACATAGTGAAACATTGTCTCAAAAAAAGGGGGACACTAACACACATTTCAGAGAGTCTGAAGTAATGAGGCTTATGCAGGGAAGCCAGTTTGTGGGGTGCTGAAGGACTTCAGCCTTTCCCTAGACTTCCCCAGTTCTGCGCCAGACTTGCTCAGTGTTGGCTCTGCCTCTCCCTGGTGAGCTCCTACCTAAGAGCCTGACCTAGCTGTCAGTTTCCCAATACGTCCCAATTATCTGGCTCAAGTTCACTCAAACATGCAGGACATAAAAAGACGAGGCTTTTGAGCAGCTGTGTGATGTTGGGGTGAACTGATACCTCCCACGTCTATAAAACAAATAGTGGTCCCGATACAGGGATTAAGAGAGAACTCACAATCAGCGCCCTGCAGGTTCGGCCAACAGGAGAAAGCAGGCTGCGGTCCCATCCACTGTAAAGCGGGAAAGGGGGAGGGAGGCTGGGAACTCAGAATCACGGGTTACTTCCTACCTGCCAGACACTGTGCAATTCTCACAATAATCAAAGAAATGAGTACACTCTGCCCTCCACAGTCCTGCATGCATGGGTTCTATACCCTGGGATTCAGCCAGCTGTAAATGGAAAATACTCAGTAAAGATGTCCATCCATACTGAGCATGTATACTTTCCCTGTTTCCTGAACAAGGATGTATAGCCCCCACCACCATCCTGATATTGTACCATCTGAAGTATGAAGAACATGTATATAGTTACAAGGAAACACTACACCATTATCTTTTGCAGGGGTGGGGGTTGGAGAGTGAGACCCAACACACCCTAGCCAAGCCAGCTACCAGCTCGGCAATTCTTCTCGAGCCACTGCAGCTTCCTAGTCCTCCATCCTGCCACCATTCCTAAAGACTCGAGGATGGAGGGCCAGGACGACTCAGCTTCTGTTCTCTTCCCTGCCTCAATACTCTTTTCAGTAGCTTTATCACCTTCCTCCAAGATGTGCCTGCCCTTGGGTCAGAAGGAAGTCACCCTGAAGCCACAGAGAGTCCAAGAAACTCAGCTTCCAGAAGACTTACTGAACTATGAACCCTTCAGGACTTGAGGACCTAGAGCCTTCCTCAAAACCCCTCCCTCCAAGATCTCTGTCAGTGCATTCTGGCTTCCACATAGTTGATCTAGACAGGGCTGCCTAGACAGGAAGCATTAGAGGTGCCTCTGAGCCACACTTCCCTCATCTTTTGGGGCTATAAACTGTTTTAAGTAGCAATTACACACTTCTCCACATTTCTCTCCAAATGGTCTAAATTCAGATGTTAGGCAGAGTGAAGGAAGAGGTAGGGTCAAGACTTGAGCTCTCCAGAAAGGTATATTCTTTCACCAGGAAGCTGGACGTAGGTTTCTCATCTAGACTGTAGCCTTTATCTTCTGGAGTTAAACACCTAGCCTGTGTTCCTGCGTCACTTGCTAATCCGTGGTCCTAATTTGTATGTTACCTATGCACTGTTCTTGAATAGCTAGTGACGTATATAAAGTTCTGTTCAAGCACTGGGATTTGAAGGTCTAAGGTTATAGTCTGCTGAACCAATCAGAGCTTATACATCCCAGTTATTGATCTCTGCTGCACAAGCTTATCATTGCCACTTTCAGAGCGCAGATTCTGAGGTTGACAAATAACCACAGGCAAGTTCCATAGTTTCATCATCTGTAAGGTGTGGATGATGGAGCTGGGCGGTGGAGGAGAACACCCTGGCCACTGTGGAGGAAGAGGCAGGTGCATCTCTAGGAGCTCGAGGCCATCCTGGTCTATAGAGTGAGTTTCAGGTCAGTCAGGGCTACACAGGGCCCTGACTCAAAACAAAACCACCAAACAATAAACAACCAAACAAAAAACAGAAG